TCGTGGAGGTCAGTAATTTTAGGAGCACGGCCGCCCCGCAGTCAACCGAGAACAATCTTTTACAAACCTCCTTTGAAGAAGCTCTCGGAAAACATCTTCGAGGGAAATTCATTACAAACTTAGCGTACGTTGCAAAATTGAATTCTGGAAACGCATTACTTTCAACGGGTAGGGAGCAACTAAACCAACTAACCAGCCAAGTGGTGTGTCGGAAAAAGGAAATGACGAGGTAATTTGAAACATTTATTCAGGACACATCCAATGGAATGTACGCTTTAAGTCACAAAGATCACAAAGAAAAACGAAATTACTTCACAAACAGATGGAACGCCGATTCTATTCTCTTACATTCTATTAAGACTAAAATATAATTTTGTTGTGTTAGGAGATATGGGCATAGATAAGGGAATGTTCTACGTTGACATTTAATATTGGTATAGCTTGTTCTTTGTTTTTTACTGTACCTACATAGAAAAAAGCAAGTATTAGAAAGGGAATAATTTAAATGGTATTTAAAGAAGATCTCAACTCATCAAAGCAAATCGCATTATAGATATAGAAAGCAGAAAAGTGTACAACAAAATAAAATAAAAATAACATAGTACAATTAGTATACCTAAATAGTAAAGACCCATGTAATGTTAAAATGAATATGCTAGTATATACTTGCAGTAAATTTCATTAAATATACGCACGCACATAATGTGTGGACATAAATTTTATTAAAGATATAAGAACATTGAATGAAATCTGTTAGCTGAGTGATAGGAAATCGGGATATTAAGCGTATAAAGTGTGAAGTGGGAAAAATAGTTCCATAATCGTACAATCTGAATGGTAGAAGACTCGTAATAACGTCTAGAAATATCCAAGTCTCTCATGGATGAAAAGAAGAGTAATTGGAAGGTGTTTATTTTTGCTGATCACGATCAAATACTCAAAGCACCCCTGAATGTCGATCTTTCAGATGAAATATTTAAAACGAAGTAAAAAAAAACCAAGCCCATTTTGTTTTATAAACAGAAAGTAGTATCATGTAGCCAACTGATTCAATAATAATGATTCATGGCTTTTATAAATTAAGCGTGCGAAAAATTAAATAAGTATTTCCTTGTAGCAATTGTTTAAGCAGTATATTACATTATGATTACCAATGACTTCTAGATGTTACGAATTTTTTGGCAAACATCTGACCACTTCCTTTTTGACAAAGTATTAGTCACACTTTTTTTTATTGCTGTCGTAGGCAGACAAGCGTACATCACACCTGGTCGTGAATGTTCAACGTTGTTTATGGGCATCATCAACGCCGGGCGCACAGCTAAGAGGCTGAAAAAGGATATATGTTATAGAGCTCATGAAACACCGTGGAGGGAAGTTCATCAATACTAGAGGCCTGGTTCGGCCGGTCATCAGAGGTGTTAAAGACCACCGTGTGGAGAATTTTAGACGCTCGACGAAGAGCTTCGGTTGTTGAGGGCTCCAACAGGCCCTGTCGTTTCACGGGCCTCGGAGAGTGCCATTCGCCGATGTCTACACCGTGGTGGGAGGCGTTCGCATTGATGTTCTCCATCACAGTCTCATTTACTTAGTAGCACTTTACTAGACGGTCATTTAATTTTTCGCGCTCACCTCGTTGACTGGTTTTCCAGCTGTGGGAAACATCGGCATATTAGACCGGCTTCTCCCTAGCATCGGGGGGATGGCCCAAGTGTCCATGGCGTTTACATTGAGGTGGTACGGTAATATCAATACGGAAACACGGGATTCTCGTATGGTACTAGTCCCTAACAGTGAGAGTGGTTAAGCCATTGCGCCTGCCGCAACGTGTCAGGGCTCTTCGACGCTACCAAGGCATTTTGTGACATGGGTGTTGTCGAAGCCGTCGCCTTGGATCCTAAATACTTAGAACAATTGAAAGTAAAATTAATGGCAGACAGTTCCCTAGCGACGCCAGCGATAATACCACTTGTTTTATCAAGCAAGCCATTAGTACAGGGTGCAGTAGAAAATGAAATGGTAATGATTTTTTGATTCTTCATTTAATGGCTTGAATAAGAAAGATAATATATTTTATTTTATTCTTCAGTACCAAATGGAGTATTGGGCAGTAATCTGTTTACAACATGGTTCTGGCGCTTCCATAACTATGTGGCTCAGCAACTAGCAAATCTCAATCCTAGCTGGGATGACGAGCGACTCTTTTATACTGCGAGAGATATTGTTGTCGCTTTTCATCTGCAAATGTTCTATTACGAATTTCTGCCCGAAATTTTGGGTAAGTTCTATTAAATTTAAACAAACTTTTTTTATTTACTCACTCCCAGATTTTTTACTTGTTTTATTAGGTTATAGATTTATGTCTGTTTTTATGTAACTCAATCTTTAAACGTTATTATCACCGCTTCAAAACGCCCGATTAACTAGAAATGTTGTCCAACTATTATTGACCAATGACAACACAATAGTTTTATCACTTAGCTCTCATATCTTGACCAGCATCAACAGGATAAAAAAAGATCTATAAGGAAGTCTCTATAGGGGGGAAATACACGAATACACATTTCGATTTTTATAAATACAGATTAAAGGTGATTCCGTGATATGAATTTTTCAATTGATAATAATACTACTAATATAGTATAAGGCAATTAGCCCTATACAGGGTGACACACAAAGGGTATATCAAGCTGAAAACTGTATATAGGTGATGTTGTATGAGATTAATCGATACGAGGAAAACATAAGTTCTTAAGTGAATAGTTTCGGAATAAAAAGCACTTAAACATAACGAACAAACTATTCTTCTGCCAACCCTTGAATTATAGTATTTAGGGTTGTCATCGTGAACAGCTGATAAAATATATTTTTGAAGTGAAACTTCCTTATCGGCGTTGGAAAAAAATTTACCGTCACATTTTTCGGTTACGCGTCACTTTTTTCCGTTACGCGCCATCTGTTTTGTATTCATGTCTATGATAATAAAATCCTTTTGTTTAAACTTTATCTAATTTAACTTTTT